TCACCACTGCGTGTATGCGCACTTGTTCAGGAATCTGCTGCTGCTTCTTTCTGTCTTCATCTACATGCCAAGGGAACTTTGTTGTGGGTGGAAGAAGCAGCTACTAACCTAAACTCTCGCCTCAAGACCTGCGCAAAGGCAGACAATTCTACTATAGCGGGCTACAGCAACACATCAACGTCAAAAGCAATCTAAGACTTATCTCAGAAGCCATTGATTATGAGGACAAATAGCAGTTGAAGGTTGCTGAAAAGTTGGCAGAAAATCCAGCTACAGGTGAGTAAGTCAGCGTCGCATGTGTCTCTTCTGCCGGCAGTCTCAAGGTCTCTACCCTCCCTCCGATTTCCTGTCCGTCTTTGCTCACCACCCTCATTTTGTTCCAGCCGTCTACATCCCACCGTACAAACACCCGATACAAGGAAAAGTATGTGAGGTTTCTGCCCCGTTCGCCCACTCGAAAGGACTGACAGCACGTAAGCTCCAGGTCTTCAAAGAAAAGTACGACCAGATCATCACCGCATGTCTTTCACAGATCCTCCTCTGCCATTTTCCGTTGCTCACACTCTTTCAGGCGCATACAGAGTATGAATGCGCCCTTGCTCGCGCAGATGACAAGCTCAGGCGGCTCTAAGTAGAATGCAAGTACGTCCCTTTGTCTTTGCTCTCTCTGTCATCCCTAACCATTCATCAAGGCACATATTCCCGCAGCCTCCTTCTCGACCCGGTTGACATCGCTATCCCGGCCCGGCCATCCCTCGTCCACTACCTCCGGCGTCGCAGCCGCCGTTCTCGCAAGAGGCCCTGCACTCGCTATTGGCTCACCCGCGACTGCGCAGGATGGAAAGTATCAGGCTTTGATTACTGGAGGATACGCGCGAGGTTGAGAGGCATATAGTCGACAGGTTGCTCGCCGGGGGTATGTACATCAATGCTATCTGAGACGCCAGCATGGTCTCATGAACTTCCAGCGATAACTCTCCCTCTCTCCAAGTTTGCATCTGTGCACGTTTCGTTGCCCACGCCTGAGTACAAAAACTTCGTGCCAAGGATACCCGACCTCCTTCCGCACCTGCTAAAGGGCCTCAAGCCGCTAGGCACGCTCCACCTCGATTTCGGCGCCTCCTAACTCTTCCTTCTAACCTCACCCCCGCTGGCTTCACCGTGCTCAGCACAATGCAGAAGGGTACCTTCATCGTGCAAAAGCCCACACACACCACAGAGACATCTACCTTCCTCAGAACCGCTCCTGTTGCCGCACTCTCCCTACGGCGGAAGGTAGACCCGGAGAAGGCGTCGAAGAAGGTCCCAGCAGTGTACGAGCCCGCAGCCCACGGTGCGTCACAGCGGAAGGTGCCCAAAGACTGCGCGTGCGGACTTGCGGAGCTGGAGTTTGCACACAACAAGGTCGTGCTGCCCGACGGTAAGGTCGACGGACAGGCCATCGAGGTGTCGCAGGCTGAGAAGGAGCGTCTCCTGGTTGCCGCCGCCGCCGCGTCCAGGGCGACGAGCAGCTGTGGAAACTGCTACTTGGGAGACACATTCCGGTGGTTGAGTTGCCTCATATGGACGAAGACGAGTTTGAGCTTGCTCGTATACGCTTTATCGCTATGTAGTATATAACGTAGCCTCGAACAAAATCTGTGCCCATGCACCAGGCCAATACCGTCTCATCAAGAAGCCGATCCCTTCTAATGACGTCCCATAGGTTGAACAGGACTTGAATAAATGTTACTATCCTTACTGGACACGAGGACTATTGAACGTTGTGCGAGCACGCGCCGTCATGCAATAACAAGCTACTAGTGCACCGTCATGCAAACTTCTGGCAAGTCTTGCCCGATATTGTAGACATTGCGAGGCAGGGCCCCTCTTGCCCCCATATCGGGTGCTCGTGCCGTCTCGCGCATGAACCGGCGCTTCAGGCAATACCTGCGATCCTCAGGGCGATTTTCGCACTTTTGCTGATGAGGGAGCGCTATGGTATTTCGAACACACTCACCTACCCACAACGTGGTTGAAGCATGGATGGATGCTAGGAGGACACTAGGAAGCATGTATCGAGTAATTTGTGGGCCATTGATGAGCGCCACTATTACCGTATGGGTTTTGAGCCCTAGAAGGCTATGGGTTATGGGGTACTGGGGACCTATGGGTTATGGGGTCGAATTCCCCCTATCCCGACTTGGGAAAGCCAAAATCCTATGGGTTTTTAGAGCTTATGGGTTACCAGGGGTATGGGTTAGGAGGGTGTCGACTGTACAGCTTGAATAGACGAAGCGGATGGCCGATGAATCCAATCCGAATCAGGCCCGGGCCGCTTAGTAGGGGGACTCCAGCATTGAGCGCTAGAGCGCTCAAAATCGCACAATGCCGTTGGTCCTAAATATGGTAAGCGAAGTGCAGATTCAACGTTGAAACAGAACATCATTGTCCATACTTCCCCCCACGATCTTTGTAACCGCCGACTCTTCTCTAGCTACTCTGCTGCGCTGAATCCTCTATTTCTTACTGGTCATACGCCAGAGCTTCCACCATCTCTCCTATTGCACCGCCACTCGTCATGGCGAACTCAGTGGTTCAGTTGGGCAACGACGAATTCTCGCGCGCCTTCCTTCGGCCATCACACATCAACGTGCGAGAAAAGCGTGTCTCCCTCGCTCCTTTTTCCTTACTGAAGCGTGCACGCAACATGGACGAGACCGAAATCTCGCAACTGTTTGTGAGTAGTCGTCCAAACGTGTGTGGCTCGGCTAAGATGTCTACCAGATCTCGGCAGTCAACAGCCATCACCTCATACCAGGATCAGTGCTTGTTCAAAATGCTCACAAGCTGTCTTGCTCCGCTGTCGAAGGGGCACAGCGCGGAATCAGTGCCTCAATCATCCGCTCTCTTCATGTCCCCAGGCGCGGACAAGCTCATTGGGCAGACCAGAGGGTGCCGGTGTATTTCTTCCCCCGTGTCCCTGATGCGGATCCTTTCGCAGGCGCGGAGAAGAAGAACGAGAACACCGAGGCTGGACGCGAGCGTAAACGGCGACTCGAGCAGATGTCTGAAGCAGCGGAGCGTCTTTTCTCCGCTCAGCATCGCGTCTTTCTCTTCATGATCGTCATCTTCGGGCGGAAATTCAGGCTCATCCGCTGGGATCGTGCAGGAATGATTGCGACACCTCCGACAGACTACTATGAGCAACCTGGCATATTATGTGACTACCTGCGGCGGCTCTCTCTTTTTGACGACGCCTCCCTCGGATTCGATCCTACCGCTACTCGCGTTCTGAGTCGCGATCCCGACTTCCTCCGCATGGATGTCGCCGCAACGCTGAACAACCAGGACCTCGATCACTTCGAATGTCATGCGGAGGAAGGCGAAGTCGGCGGACCCCATGTTTTTCGATACGTACGCTCAATGTTTCGAGACAGTCTCTCGTCAGACTGGCCGCGCTACAGACTACAGGTGCCAGACGGTGACAGCATGCGCGACTACCTCGTGGGCAAACCCGTGGTTCACGGCTCTAATGTCTTTGGTCGTGGGATGCGAGGATACGTGGCCTTTGACTGCCGAACTGGTTGTTTTGTATGGCTCAAGGATGTCTGGCGCCCGTCCGAGATGGTCGCTGAACGGGAGGGCGATGTCCTCCGTGAGCTCAACGAGGCTGGGATCGAGAATGTCCCGACCCTCGTATGCCATGGCGACGTCGGGGACCAAGCGACTGTTACCGACCTGTGGTGGTCGCGGGGACACGCTACAAGCCCAACATCGCCAGATTACTCGTCATCCTCAGCGTCATCCTCAGCGTCGTCGTCGTCGTCGTCGTCTTCCCGCTCGCCCGCTTCTTCCACTGGTAGAAAACGCAAGAGAGCATCTAGACTACGCAGCGATGACGGCGTTTCGCGCTTCAAGAGTCGACAGGCCCCTTGTCCTCTGCGATGCCACACGCATTATCGCGTCATCGTAAAGGAGATCGCTCTGCCACTCAAGAACTTCCAGCGTGGGAAGCAATTGACGTCTATTGTTCTCGATTGCCTACGCGGTGAGATTGCATCTGTCGCGGAGATGTCTCAGCCCTAACACTTGACGTAATAGCTCACCATCAGGCTGCCACCAATCCTGCGACCATGCGCCTCCATCGAGACATCAGCGGGGAAAATATCCTCATCTACCCTAGGGTCAGACAGGATAAGGACGGAAGGGGTCACTCGATAGTCTGGACCGGTCTCCTTATCGATTGGGAGCTCTCCAAGCATAGAGACTCTGAAGATGTGCCGAAGTCACTGGCAGGAGGTCGCCTGGTGCGTGCACATCTTCTCTTCCGAATCGAACTTTTACCAAACATCACAAATCGCTGTCTAGGGCACCCGCGAGTTCATGTCGGTCAATCTGTCGGGGAACTTACGTGATCCCGTCAAAATCTCCGACGAGCTAGAGTCGTTTTTCCACGTCCTTGTCTACTACTCCGTCCGTTACCTGCGCTCCAACTGCAACAGCCCCAAACCCTGGCTAGACAACTACTTCTATTTCCGTGGCTTCCCGCACGACTATAACGACTCGCTCAAGTCCATAGCCATCAATCATCACGGATACCTCAGTACGCTAGTGCCGGGGGGGCCTCTGATCTTCGACAGCCCGATTGATCAGCTCCTCGGGACGCTTATCAAGAGCTTCAGGGCACACTACAAGATCATGTACTACAAAGCCCGCAATCGCTCTCTTACTCCTTCTTCCTCCTCTTCGTCGTCAGCAGGCACAGAGAGCCAGAAGGCGGCTCGCGCCACTCTTCGCGCGGCCATCGCCGCACATGCTATGGCGCCTATGATCGACTTAGACCACAACCCAGTGTTTGCAGAGTACATGGCGAACTTGACACCGAACATAACCCCAGACAATACACCTACGGAGGAGGACCAGCTGCTAGCGAGTCGGGTCGTGGACCATTCTTTCGCGCTCGACTTCTTCGCCAAGCTTCTTTGCCGGAATGATTGGAAGGAGGGCGATCGCATTCCTCCACGTCCCACCTCTCCTCCACCTGTCCCCGAACCCGTCATCGAACTCGAGTCTGAGGAACCAGCGCCTCCCGCTAAGCGACGTCGCAAGACTTCTCCCAAGGAGAAAGCAGGCGCGGCTCCTCCTATCCGCGTAGACACTGCGGTGCGCCGCACACGCAGTCAAACACGCGCTGCTGCTGTCCAAAAAGCTTCTGCGCGGCGTCGTAGGACCTAGGACAAGAACAAAATGAGGTATCATCCTGCTGCTCGCATCGACTCTCCGACATCTGTGTTACCTGTCGCCCCTGGCGAAAAGTAGGATCCTAGCGACAGACTCGCAGCACAACTTCGCGACAACACCGTTTTAGGGGCCAGAGCCCCCGAAAATCCCGGTTTAGACGGTTACATAGACAGCTGTAGTCAACAGCACTGCGTCGAAATGATATGGAAAGGCCAACTGCATCCAGAAATCTGATTACCTGCCTCCCGACAAGTTTATTCTGACTACCTCCGCTCGCGTATCGTCCGCGGTTCCGATTCCATCTAAATAGAATCTTTTCCGCCCTTATGTGAGTCTGTACCGCAGTGTACATCACCCGTTTACGATGTGGTCGCCCTTCTGCTTCCGCAGTGGCAGGTGCATCGTTGTCCGACAGACGTCGCAGTTCTTGCAGAACGATCCCTGTGCGAGTAGGCTGCGTCCTGCACTATGACTGATGCTGTGGTGGGTCGCCAACAACTACGCGTCCGATTGTCATGTTATTTCTCTCCATGACCTTCTACGGTCTACATCCGCCGTTTTGTGTAGCGATAAAGTTTAATACTATATAGTCTTACATCGCATCGACATACATCCACCTACTCATTACATATTCCTCCTCCAGAGAATCTGTCCCCTCTGCATGGCCGCAAAGCGATGTCTCACTTGTGTGGAAATCCCACGACATCGCTGGGCCCATACTCAAAGTGGTCACCAGCGGTGAAGTTGCGTATGGCCCGTATCTCGATCTGGCGCTTGTCACCACTGTGACATAATTGATATTCAACTTGGCAACGACATTTTAGGACGCGCTGGCAGTACTCTTCAACCTCCTCTGCCTTTCCTATCCGCATTTGATCCAATGCTGTCCTTGCCGTGTGCTGACAGACATCTCCCACTCGACTATCGCCTTCTCCTGGTGCAGGATGGCACTTACCCCTTACACTGGGCGACACTGTAATGGTCACCGGTAGCATGGACGTCGAGGTTCTAGTTCGTGCAGCTGGCAACTGGGACGCACAGAATGCGGAGCATGCGTCAGATTGATGGAGAAGGCAAACGAAAGCGAGGGCACGTGCTGTGTATACTGGGCAACGTTTTGTACGATCAAGTCTAACAGATGTGCACTATTGTAGCTGATTCACTTGTCGGGGCGTGTGGATGCCGCAGAGTAGCGTTGCTCGGTGGATATTCACACTACATGAATTCGAAGGTTTGAGTCATCATATCGGTTGACATCATAGTGTCGTAGCTCTGCTACCGACCCTTATTGTGGTGCGTAGCGCTCAGGACATAAGTGGCTTCTCACCGGTCTGTACTATCTATACCGCACGTCGACTCAGATCAACGGTCTCCAATTTACCGTGGCCAGTCCTGCACATCAGAAGAAACGTAAATATGAAGAGCTACATATCTTACTCACGCTGATCGAACTTGACGCTAGTATAGTTCTCGGGCATGTCACGGCAGGCATTCCCATGTTTCCGTGCATAGAAAAGTCGACGAAAGCGGGAGGCAGGAGGCAACCCTCCGCCGATTTACCCGACTTTTTTTTTTCAGAAGTGCCACATCCTCTTGGATGGCTTGCGTCGTGCCTCTCCCTTTCATAGACTATTCCCTGGCCGAAACCCCTGGGAATGCCTGCCGTGTGTTCGTCATACAGTGCGGCCCTTTCATTATGCCAGGACCTTGATCAGCCTTAGCCATGATCCGCACTCCGGGATGTGTGAGCTATTAATCTCGGCAGCAAATAATTAAAGGAGCCTGCTCACTTATTGTCCGCCGAAGGCGCGTACTCTAATGAGCCGTCGCTTAGCAGGTTGCGGGACAATGCAACCGCCGGGTATGTATCCTAACCACGAACTCTGCAGGGGACATAGTGGGCGGCTCTGTATGCTCGCTCCTTGACACCGTCGACCACCATGGCTCCCGATCCTGAACCCGGAGAATCGCCCGCCAAGCCGTACAACCTCAGCAGTTGGGAGTGGGCTTTGGAAAACCTCGATTTGTCAGAATATCGTCTCAAGTCTATGCAAGACATGGCCCGTCTGTTCTTGAAGGCAGACTCCCCCATTGAGTTTCTCGACGCCTTTCTCCCCTACCCCTCCACAGCTCCAAAGCGCAAGCCACGGAAGAGGAACCCCTTCGAGAGCCTTGTCAATGCCGACAAGGAACTTGAAACCGACGTGGTTGCACAGTTTGTGAGTTTGCCGTGGTTAGGTGGTTTGCATCTGCTCATGTCTCTTAGCGAAATGTCGTGGCACTGAAGAAGCTCTGTCCGAAGATGGTATTTACGACCAGCGAGAGGCGCCCCGATCCCAAGAACATGGATGGGACAGGACAGAAGGTCGATGCTGCCTTCTTCCGTCCACAGGATGCACCGACAGACGGACGCCCCCACTGGTCGTCTCAGGTGGTGCCCGCGGAGTTCAAGAGCAGGAAGAAGGGCGACATCTACGATCCATTCGATGACAAGGGTATTGACTTCGAATCCCAGGCGGAAAAGCGCAAGGAGGTACGCGCTCAGATCGTCACCTACTCCGAGTTGGTTTTCGAGCACCAGCATCGCGTCTTCGTCATCATGCTTCTGGTCATGGGACGTCGCTACCGCCTTCTGCGCTGGGATCGGGCTGGCACGATCGTTACTCCATCTGTCGACTATTACGAGAATCCAGATGATCTCTGCGAGTTCCTGTGGCGCATCTCCCATCTGGACGACGAAGCGCTTGGGATCGATCCTACTGCCATTCGTCTCGAGGGAGACGACTTCGACGAGTTGGACACCATCGCCCAGCGCGTTGTGAACGAGGTGGATGAGACGCCTCGTCCCCTAGAGGGAGAGACGTTTCCCGAGTCTTTCCACTACAAGTACGTGCGGAAGATGTTTGAGGAGTCGATCCGGGACAGGGACCGGCCGCGATACAAGCTCCAAATTCCTTCAGGCGACGGGGTGGATCACTTCCTCGTTGGAAAGGCCGCAGTGGTCACACCCGGCATGGCTGGTCGTGGCACGCAGTGCTGGGTGGCGTGGCACTGTGAAGGGTCTCGTTTCGTCTGGCTGAAAGACTCGTGGCGTGTGTCGTTCGAGGAGATCGAGAAGGAGGGTGACATTCTTGCTCGTCTCAATCACGTGAAGATACCAGGGGTACCCACACTTGTCTGCCACGGCGACATCGGAAACCAGACGACTCTCACCGCTGACTGGTGGAAGCACAAGAATCCTCGAGCTCCTGTTGCCGAATCCCCGACTGCCACCTCTGCGCCACCCACTGTACCTGACAGTATGGGAGACAGTGCTTCAGGACGAAAGCGGAAACGTAAAGACGAGCCAGATGAGCCCTGCACTCCTCAATCCTCAGCACCCACGCAGCCGCCACTCCGTAGAGCTCCTCGACGATCCTGCAGAAGACCCGATAGCTCGAAGAACGCTTCCCGAACCAATAGACGAACGCCACAGTCAGTGGTACTATCCAGGCCTGTTTTACAGCTCTCCTCTCCCGGTCCTGTCGTATACACTCAAGCATGCCATTTACGACATCACAACCACTACCGAGTAGCCGTCGCAGAAGTAGGTATGCCGCTCAAAAAGTTCCTGTTTGGGCGACAACTTGCGAGTATCGTGTTGGACTGCATTGGTGGTGAGTCTTTTTATGCACATATTGTCGAACTGCCGTCACCGAACCATCTCTTCTCAGCCCACTTTGACGCCGCCAGTCACAAGAAGTTGAGAGTCCGCGTTTTGCATCGTGATGTGAGCGACCAAAACATCATCATCTACCCGAAGATTACCCGATCCTCGGAGGGTGTGCGCTCTTTGGTATGGGGTGGCCTTCTCACGGACTGGGAGATCTCGAAGCCTGTCATCGAGCGCAACATCCAACCAAAGGCGCGCCAACCACAGCGCTCGGTATGTTATTTCTTGGAAATGTGCTGCATAGTCTGACTGACAGCACAACCAGGGCCGGTGGCAATTCATGTCCGTGTATCTACTCATGAACACTTTGCGGCGAGTGAAGATAGAGGACGAACTGGAATCGTTCTTCCACATCCTCGTGTATTACGCAGTGCGCTACCTCAAGTCGACCCTTTTGACGGATGATGACGCGGCTCATTTCCTGGAGAAGTGCTACGACTGCTTCACAGTCCACAACAACAGGATCATCTGCGGTGCTCAGAAGTGGGCGATAGTCATGCAGAAAACCGCTGGTGGCCTCTTCTTCGACCATCCCATGTATAATTCCACGCTGCCCATCACGTTTGCTAGCAAGGGGCTCGACGTCATCGTCCACAGATTCCTTCTCTGCATCTCAGCACGCTACAAGATCCTCGCGTGGAACGAATGGCTGGAGAAACATCCGAACCACCCTGCACATCCTCAACATCGCGATCGTTTCCAGACCCCCCCACCGTCCAAGCGCAGGCGTGTAGAGGGTGATAGCAGTGCCTCCGACGCCCCGCGTAGGAATAGAGAGGACGACGATGGTCCCACGCCGGGAATGAGGATGCCCGACATCCCCACCCCCGAGGACCGCATACTTGCTGATAGGTTGACAAACCACCCTTACATGATCGCACAGATCCGGAACACCACTTCGAAAGTCTCCTTCTGGAAGGAGGACAGGCTGCACGACCGCGTACCGCCCGACTACAAGTGTCACTACCCACTCTATGAGACCCTCCCCGAGCCCCAGACCCTTCCCGAGCCTCAGACCACCTCCGTCGCCGACTCCGAGTAACCACTATTCGCAATTTACGTGCAATGTGTATATCATCAACGCCCATGCTTACCTCTCTTTCTTTCAATGTTAGTGTCTTCCATGTATCAGAACTCTCAGAACTCTAGTCCTATGATTAGCATGTGAATTAGTACTATACAGTATGCTACCTAGTGTACATATGAACTATGATGTGCGAACGCGATAGTTATACATCTCTTCTAGCCCTTTACTAGACGTACGCAGGCGGAGACGCAGCAGCCCCATTCGCACGCGTCACATGCTCGTCATGCTGGACGTCCATCTCCCCGTGCGCCTTCTTCCCCGCGGGGCTCTGCGCGCGGTCCGCCGCCGTCTTCGACTCCGCGAACTCGCGGCGGGACGGGAAGCCCTCGGGCGCCCACGCGCGCGACGTCCACGGCCTGCACGCGGGGTCGCAGTACATGTCGTCGACCTCCTCGAGCGAGAGGTCCGAGGACTCGTACAGGAAGAAGTAGACGATGACCGCGCCGGTGAGGTTGCACGCGGCGAACACGAAGCCGTAGCGGTACTGGATCGCCTTCACGATGAAGGGCGTGAAGAACGCGAGGAGGAAGTTCCAGAGCCAGTTCGAGGCCGTCGCGAGCGCGGCTTGGCGCGCGCGCGTGCGCGTGGGGAAGGTCTCGCCGATGAGGATCCAGATGCCGCTAGGGGAGGAGGAGGGAGGCGAGTCAGCGATTAGGGGACGAGAGGGGGCGAGCGCGGACTTACGGGGCCCAGGTCATGGCGTAGCCGAAGATGAACAAGCACGCGGAGACGATCATCACTACGGAGGATGCGTCAGCGTGCGATCGCAGAAATGACATTCAAGCAGAGACGCTTACATTCGCCGATGCCCTTGTTTTCGGTTGGATCCTTGGCTGTACCGGCGGCCGCGAACACGAACAGCCAGGCCGATTGCCATACGCCTCCGATGATCAGAGGCCAGCGACGTCCGAACTGGGAGGTCATCCGTGAGCAGGCTGGAACGCGAAGGCCAAGACGTCGTTGCTTACCTTCTCCATGATGTACATGCCGCCAAACGTGCAAACGAAGTTCACAGCGCCAAGGATGATTTGGATCACGAATGAATCGTTGATACCGACGGACTGGAAAATGGTGGCTCCGTACTGTTACGTTGCGATAAGCGCGAGAGCGATGGCAGCCTTATATGGAAACACTCACGTAGAAGAAGTAGTTAGCACCCGTGAGCTGCTGGAACATCTGCAGGGTCATGCAGAGCAAAGTCCGGTAGAGCTGCTTGCGACGGGGGTTGAAGCACTCCATCCAGCCTGCCTTCTCCTTGCTTTCCAGATCGATGGCCGCGCGCATCTCCCCAACCTACATAGAAATTACTTCAGTGAACGGCGTTCATTGTGAGCGTACTGTCCGTACACACCTCGCGATGGACGACCGCATGATTGTCCGCCTCGGAGTCTGGGATACCACGGGCCAGTGCAATTGAACGCCGCGCCTCGTCGTAACGACCGCGCGCAGTGAGCCATCTATGAGATTACTAGTAAGACACGCATTCGTACTGACGCTAACGGGACTACATACCTGGGCGACTCGGGCATGAACAAGATACCAACGCCAAGGATGACGGGCCAGACAAAGCCGATGCCGACAACGGTCCGCCATGAGCCGGACCCTGAGATGCCTCGCGCGCCGATAGAGATACAATCTGAACGAAGGGGCATGATGAGTGAAAATCGTGATGCTGGAAGCGACGATGCACTTACATGCGATGAGAATACCGAAGGTGATGAATAATCTGGTTCCCCAAAAACCAGTCAGCATATGTGATAATGATGTCCACGACGGTGAGCGGAACATACTGGTATGTAGCCGTCAGGGTACCGCGAATCTGCGGAGGAGCAGTCTCGGCTTGGTACATAGGGACAGCGGCGCTGAGGGCGCCAACGCCGAGGCCGCTGACGAGACGACCGATCGCGAACTGGACCCAAGAGTGGAAGGTGGTGATCTGGATGAGGACGCCTATCATGAAGACGCCGCACCACGTGGTCATGGCATATCGACGACCAAGCAAGTCGGCAGTCCTGCAAGTGAGTTAAGGCTACTTAGCACTACGTTCAAAAGGCCGGACGGACAGCGATCGCGGAGAGACTTACGGTGCACCGATGAGCGCGCCGACGAGTGTGCCGATACTGAGTAGGGCGACGATGAGGCCTTCACGGACATCCGTGAAGTGACATGTTGAGGAGTCGGTTGGGTCACCGCAGTCGGCGAATCGGAGGAGGAAGTCAGGCATGAGCACGATGTCGGAGATCTGGCCAGTGTCATACTGTGGCGATGCCGGGCACGGGACCGATTGAAGTGAGTACCAGGACCTGCGCTAACGAAATGTGGAAAGTACGCACACCGAAGATGAAACCACCCATGGAGGCCAACACGGCCAACATGATGGCCATCCAGCCTATAGGCAGGCCTTGTCTATTGCGATCCCATGTCAGAGACGCATGCCGTCTTCATTTAGAGGCGCAAGTGAGTAACTCACACGTAGAACAAAGCCATGATAGTGAGATTTTAGCGCTGTAGGGTGGGGTACTGGAAAGCTACGAATTCGGCCCCGCAAAGAGTCCGGGGGAGCTGGGGAGGAGAATCGATGGGAGTGAGGGGTTTATAGCGCGGTCGGGAGAGCGCAGCCACGGCGCGAGCACTTTAGTACTCCCGTCCGACCGGATGACATCACCCGAAGCGCTTGCCGGCCATGCTCGCGGGTGGAGTGCACACGAAAGAAAACTGACGATGCTCGAAGGAAGATATTCATCCCACGCCGTGCTGCCGTCGGCCGATGTCGCCCTGTTTTTGGGCCCACTTCGCTGCGCCTCGAAGGGTCCGGCGGTTGGGCGCTTCCTACCTTCGAAGGCCCCGATTGGCCCTCAGCCAGCCCGGACGCACCGCTCTTCCATACATCAGAACATACCGAGGTGGTGAACACTTCTTGAATATTGGGGTGAAGGAGAACGAGGTTCGGAGAAGGCGGGTCAGATTTCAGCCACCTCGATCGGAACCCGGAAACTATTTGTCAGGAGGCCGAGCACCCGTTGGAACGCTCTCTCGATGCCGCCGGAACTTGCATCCTGATGTTCCGGCGGGGAAAGGGCCGTGGGGTCCTTGGCAATCGGCTTGGACGAACATATCAACCTCTGCGGCGAGCCGAGAGGACTTCGGGAAACCGGTACCCTCGTCCGAAGACAACGCAAGGGGAACGCCCGCGCTCTTCCATGTTCTGGCCCAGCTCTGGTAGTCTCAATAGGCGACTTCCAATTCCATTCATCAGCGAACTCTTATCAATGGTCAACTCGGATGAACCTACACATGCAAAGACGCCTTCAGAGTTGATACGTTCCTGAAGGCTCAAGCTTCAAGAACGGAAGCCCTTCGACCCTTTGGGGTAATGGTATGGAACTTTGCACAACGTGCAGCGTACCTCTCTTGGTTGAGTGAGTATACGACCAGCCATGCACATGAATCGGCCTTCGCTTGCTCTTAGGCCGAGCTCACCATGCATAAGGGGCCGACCACCGCGCCCGATGTTAGGTAAACATGATGAGTAGCAGCGCTCAGTATTCTCAAACGTTCTAGGCTGTAACCTCTTCCGGCGGCGGCTTCATAAGTCATGCCTCCGGGCAGCATAGTCTGACTTACAGGTCACGAGCATTGAACGTATCAACAGACGTGTTTGTTTCTGCGTGGACTGAGTATAGCGCACCTTCCATTGTCAACTCCTATGGAGACCTCCCGGCCCTCGGGTCATGTTATTTCGCGGAACCTCACCATCGGCCGACCGATCTGACCGGGATTCAGAGAATGCGAACAGTATAGGGGCAAGATTGGAAGCAGACATTAGAGGCACGCACCCTGAGCTCCGTATACGGACTTCCTGCCCCGTCGCGATGAGTCGCCAGCGAGAGGAGTCAAGACGACGACATGGCCGTGACGGAGAGTTGCCGCCCGCGTGACGCCCCTGTGACTCCTTCCTAATTGAGGAGGAGGCGCAGTTGTGGCTGAGCGGCTCCGCCTGCGTCGTCCGTAAGCCGACTTGCACCAGAACCCCCACCATGGCCGACGCCACGGTCGTCTCTAGCAAGCTCGCGATGTCCAAGGCTCTCGGCGCGGCCTTTCTCAACCACCAGGTCGAGCAGCTCGAGAAGACGGTCCACTCCGGCGGCAATTGGCGCGAGCGCCGCAGTCCCGACAACTGGAGAGCCGGAGAGGCGAAGAAGGGCTTCAGGGGCCCAAAGATCATCCAGAGACGCGGGGACGAAAGTGCTGAAGAAAAGAAGAGGTATACGGAGGGCCCGAAGGCGGAGAGGGAGTACGAGAGGAGGGAGAGGCGCAGCGAGGACGGCAAGGGGCAGAAGGATGCCGATATCGTTGTTGTGGACGCAAGCGTCCTCGTCCATGGGTTGTATCATCTCAAGAAGTGGTGCAGGGAGGGAAGGGAGGAGATTGTCATAGTGCCGCTTGAAGGTGAGTTCCCTATCTCGCGTGGTCCCTTAGTTTCCGGTGCCCTGTCTACAATCTCTGCCTATCCGACTGTCAAGAGCGTCTTGGATGAGGCGTATGGCGGAGAATGCTGTGTCTTGCGACGATGTTTCATACACTGTGGAGCTTCCTCGGAATCCCTTCGTCTTCATGACTGTTTGTTTCCGTTGCGCCACCCATCTGCTCAATTCGAAACTTGCGATGCCCCATTCCAAACCTTGGATATGGTAATCCATGCGTTGGGTCTTTTGGCGAGGGGTATCTGTCTGCAGTAACTCTGGCTCCCTCTCCCTCTGCGCACTGCAATCGGTTGCATCTTGCGACATGACTTACGTCGAGTTATTTCGAGTCGTTTTCGCGCGTAATGCTGCTCAGCTCGAATCTTATACGTCCTTACAAACCTTGTTCATTCTTCTTCATTTCTCATCTTGATCGACAACCAATTCATTTACCCCCCACGCTGACTACGCCACACAGCACTCAACACCCTAGACCTCCTGAAGAAGGGAACCAGTGCGCTCGCACAGCGCGCCCGTGCCGCGTCTCGTATCCTCGAGGCCCAGGTCGGTACTAACCCTCGCATCCGCGTCCAGCGCGACGATGCGTTCGTCCTCTGGGACGAAATCCCCTTCGACGAACAGATGGCCGGCGTGTGGAGCACCGCGCCCGAATGGGTCCGCCGTACGATCTGCTGCGCCCGCTGGGAGTCCGAGCACGCAGCCGAAGAGCTGCAAGATAAGGCTGAGAAGGCTCCCAAGCCCCGTGTCGTCCTCGCCTCGGTTTCACCCCCCGCCGAAGCCCAGCTCGAGGCCGCTATCCCCGCTCCCGTCTCTATCTCACCCGTGCCGCTTCCCGCCCCTCAGCCTAACAGGTACGAGTCCCGCATCTCCGGAGCTCTCGCCGCACGCTGGGCCGCCAAGGCAGGAGTCGAAGTAATCGAACTTACCTCCGCGCCTCCCCACCCTCACCCCGGCGCTGGGACCGCGAACGGCCCCACTGAAGCCCCGAATAAAGTTCGGCGCTCTGCTGACGGCGGTGGAGGCAGGCGTTCCGGAGAAGAGGAGCGCGCAAAACGTACCCCGGCCGGCCGCGGTCGCCGCAACTCGCGCGGCGGCGCGCCTGCTGGGCCTCGCGCCACCCCCAACGCCCCGGCATCGGCGGCGACGGCGAGCACAGGTCTGGTGGAACGCCCGCAAGCGGTGATGACGATGATGGAAATGGTGACGCAGCCGAACCGCGTCGTGCGCGTGCTCGCGCGGGGTGAGAAGCTCGACCCGTAGGCCGTGCGCCCCTCCATCTCGTACACACAACCATAACCGGTGAGTGGCGCTCGCTGCGCGGAGTCATGCGGTCAGCTAACGGCGTGGGGGCACGCATAGATGACGAAGGCGTCTCTCGATTGAAGCCTGCCTGACAGCAAACTCCCCTTAGAGGAATCCCTCGTTCCGATTACGCCGGGCCCAGCTGCTGGGCGCATGCGTGTGCTCGAGGGCGCGCGCGTGCACAGGCATCGGCCTTCCCTGCTTCCGTGGTTGCTCTCGCGTGGCCCCCACGAGGTTGGATTGGCCAGTTGTAGACCGGATATGAATCGACCATGAGACCCGGCGGTGTGGTGTTTCGTTTCCCGCGGCGCGTTTGTGGTACTCAGACTTCCCGGCAGAGCGAGGTAGACGGGAGACGAAAGCTAGGGGTATGCAGTGCGGATTTCCTCGTTCTCGTCTTGGCGTGGCACCAAGTTCCGAAACGGATACTTTCTCCCGGCGTCGTGTGTCTGCAGCTCGACGTGTTCGTTTGCCTCATGTCGCTTGTTACTGGCGCCCGGTCCCCGTCTCTTTATTTCGACTCCTCCGTATGCGAATCCTCTTTCTGTTTAGTATGAAACGTTGTTCGGGATCTGATATTTGTATCTTCCGTATCTTCGGCTCTTGTATCTAGCATGTCAAACTTGGGTTCGTGTTATTGATTCACCAGCATGACGGATAACGTTCACTCGTATCCCAAGGTGAAGGGAAGGCTTTTATGCCGTCTCTCCACGATTGAAGCATTCGGAGTTTGAGCTCCACACCAGCCATCTAAGGCCTGCTTGTGGTGTCCCATCAGTCGTCGTCCCCGTCGACGCTTAATTCCTCGAGCCGGGCGCGCTCTAAGTCGTCCTTTTCCCACCCGAGCTCGTGTCAGCGGTTGTCAAAGTGACTGCTTGATGACCTGCGCACACTGGAGGATGTCGTCGTCCGAAGCGGGACGGGTGCAGGCCCCTGGCCAGCGGTATCTCCCGAAGCTCCGTATGACCCTTATCTTGATCGGGCGCTTGCTCTATCAGCGCCCATGACTCGGCGGATGTTCAGTCGGCCACTGTCTCTGTAACTCTTTTTTTTTATCCTCAAACATTTATATCCCGCGTACGTAGTACAGGTGCGGCATTAAGTATTAGTGTGTCTCGCTGGGTCTCTGTAACTCTGTTCTCTCTCCCCACACTCTTCCGAGGCTTGTATCGCACAGAAAACATAGCCTTGTGATTTTTCTTCTATTGTCGACTATTCCACTGCTGGTTCCAGCTGGCAATCTGATAGGCTCCTCCGATGTAAGCCCGCCGTCTGAGCAGTGCAAACACACCCGGGCGATCCCCTGGTACTAGTAGTCCACTCGCTGCAGTTCTCGGGCTCGATTGGCGAGAACGGTCCAGAAAGACGACAAGCAGTGTCGAAGATACGAAGCCTTGCATTGGAGGACGAGGTTGTCGGGATGTCGAGGGATTAATGCGTCGTGCATACGGCACCTGGTGAGCTCATCTTGGGCTTTCTCTTCTGCACGCAAGTTACAAACATACCTTCACCTGCTCCTGTCCAGTCAGGTAAGGATAGCCTATCGAAGCAACATCCAGTGTAAGGATACCTTGTACGTAGTTCTGTTCTGACAGTTAATGGCATACTGGTGATCTGTAGTTAGGCCTGTGGGCATCTATGTTGTCACGAAGTGGGAATTGACTCACAGGAAATGAAATTTCCATCAGACAGCTTGTCAAAGATCTCCTCTCCCGGTGTTCTGGAGACCATATTGAAGTTTTTGCAGGCCGTGATTAGCTGGCATAATAACAATCTCGTGCTGAGGACGTTGAACCTAGTGTGTGTTGAGTACAACATACCTGATGATCATCATAGTGTGTCTTGGATATCAGATGAGCGCACTGAACATGCTTGTTCTGACAGTTAAAGCATTATACAAAAGGATTATTGGGCATGTCAAAGGCGCATGTACAGGATCAGGCTCGATGTGATCAACCGCAACCGATCCATCGGGGTGAACTAAAAAGTTGCGCCTAAGGGCCTGTTCGGCAAAGAGTTGGAGTTAGAGTTACCGGCATTTCATGCCCAAATATAGTAATAATATCTCGGTTTTCGATTTCGAGAGAACTCGAGTTACTCGAGCGAGTGCATGCGTTCGGATGCCTCCCAGCAACTCCGGGCGGTTGTTATCAGCTCACGTCATAATTTGTCTTGAGGCTTGTTGAACAATGAGAAGTTGGTCAGACCGGGGATTGAACCCGGGTCATCCCATATGCGCTGGGAGGTGTTACCACTACACCATCCAACCGATACTAGAGTGTGAATTCTACAGATTCCCACACTCCCCCTGAAGTCACACTCTGGTGATCATCAAGGAACCAACTTTTCCAAATGAAGTTACCCTCAGGCACATTTCCCAAGGCGGGGGTTCTCTGACCCTGCTCCCTTCAAAGCGTCACACAGGGCTCATAACCTGATAAACTCGGGGCTGTGAAGACAAGGATTAGATCCGACTAGAGTCGAAGCAAGATCTTCAGTCAGTAAGGAAAGACTATATTGCAGCAACGAACTGTACCTAGAGTCGAAGCAAGACTACAAAGGTTAAGTAAGTAACTACAAGTTAGAGGTAAAGGTAATGAAGTACTCACTCTTCAGTCAGTAAGGAAAGACTGAAGAGGGAGGACGCAATCTGAAGTCCTTATATACTACAGAGAAGTGTCCATGACTAATCGAAGAGTGGTTAGTCACATGTACCATAGTGCGATGAATAATACGATGGTGAAAGAATTGCGACGTATCGCACCATAGGATGAGTAAGAGATGACGTAAGGCATAGACCTGTAC